AGTTCCAATTTTGTGTTTGCACTTGATGTTCGTTCGCACGATTTCAAAATGGTCGGCCTATTTTCCAGACCGGTGAGACCCCACACACGGAAATGGAAATAAAAAAATCAAGGGTCTAACCACTTTGGTCGTACAGTGTGTGGTGCGCAGCCACAAGACATAATCACGCAAACCACACATGAACCGATTTCACTCCCGAGCATCCCCAGGTCAGATGGGAAATCTTGCAAAATCTCTTGAGATCAACCGTGACTTCAGAGTAAACAATCATGGCGGACGGAGAGGATGCAGTTGCAATAAAAGAAAAGAGAAAATGCTACATCATCTCTGACGTCCACCGGACTTTCTGGTGCACCATGCCGCTGACTGTTTTTTTTGGTGTTTCCTCGCCACCATGTTAGCTAGTCTTCTGATTGGCCATGCGCTGCAGTCCACAGGCAACGGGATCGTCTGTGGGGGACACCACACACAAAGAGAAATCAGGCCAAAAAAAATCCAACATGTTGGATATCCCCGATTTGAGATCGGAGCAGTCCAGAGTCTTAACAAACCACACATGGCAGAAAAATCCATCAGATTTTATTACGTAAATTGTTTTTAAGATGTCGTCAGAGGTGAATCAGGTCTTGAATCTGCCAAATTTACAGCCGTGTGAACAAGGTTTAAAGCTGTGTGGTTTTGTTTTGTTTTCATTCCGTTGTGATTTGCACAGATTTATTCAATAATAATTAAAGGCACTTTATTACATTGAAATGTATTTGTGTTTCACGTGTAATATTGTGTCATTTTTTGATTAAACTATGACAAGAACATGAACTATGACTATGCCAAATAAGGACTTTTAAAAATACTGAAATATGCAACAACAACAAAAATAGTATGCATTAGCGCTCCTTCTCAGACATATTTCTTATGATACCGCACTGTTGTCAACTTGTCTTATTGTATTTGTGTGTACATCTGCACCTGTATTGTGCCTTTGAGCCAGAAGGTCGTGGGTTCGAGCCTGACCTTCACCATCAACTCCCACTGATGTCTTCTGTCGTTGTGTCCTTGGCAAGACACTTAACCTCTAGGAACACGCCCCACAGTGGGGCGGCTGCGGCTGTAAAGTGCCAAACTGCTGTTGTGTCCTTGGCAAGACACTTCACCCCCTTTGCCTAGAATGAGTCTGGTGTGTGTGTGAATGGTTGGTGGTGGTCGGAGGGGCCGATGGCACATACTGGTTGCCTCGTTTCTGTCAGTGTGCCCCAGGGCAGCTGTGGCTACAGTAGTAGTTTATCACCACCGTGTATGGGGTGAAAGAATAATGACATGTAAAGCGTCTTTGAGTATCCAAAAAAGCGCTATATAGAGTGCGAAAGTATTCGGCCCCCTTGAACCTTTCAACATTTCGCCACATTTCAGGCTTTAAACATAAAGATATAAAATTTACATTTTTTGTCATGAATCAACAGCAAGTGGGACACAATCGTGAAGTGGAACGAAATGTATTGGATAATTTAAACTTTTTTAACAAACAAAAAACTGAAAAGTGGGGCGTGCAATATTATTCGGCCCCTTTACTTTCAGTGCAGCAAACTCACTCCAGAAGTTCAGTGAGGATCTTTGTATGATCCAATGTTGTCCTAAATGACTGATGATGATAAATAGAATGCACCTGTGTGTAATCAAGTCTCCGTATAAATGCACCTGCTCTTTGATAGTCTCAGGGTTCTGTTTAAAGCGCAGAGAGAACCATGAAGACAAAGGAACACACCAGGCAGGTCCGAGATACTGTTGTGGAGAAGTTTAAAGCCGGACTTGGATACAAAAAGATTTCCCAAGCTTTAAACATCTCAAGGAGCACTGTGCAAGCAATTATATTGAAATGGAAGGAGTATCAGACCACTGCTAATCTACCAAGACCCGGCCGTCCCTCCAAACTTTCATCTCAAACAAGGAGAAGACTGATCAGAGATGCAGTAAGAGGCCCATGATCACTCTGGATGAACTGCAGATAACTACAGCTGAGGTGGGAGAGTCTGTCCATAGGACAACAATCAGTTGTGCACTGCACAAAACTGGCCTTTATGGAAGAGTGGCAAGAAGAAAGCCATTTCTCAAAGATATCCATAAAAAGTCTTATTTAAAGTTTGCCACAAGCCACCTGGGAGACACACCAAACATGTGGAAGAAGGTGCTCTGGTCAGATGAAACCAAAATCGAACTTTTTGGCCACAATGCAAAACGATATGTTTGGCGTAAAAGCAACACAGCTCATCACCCTGAACACACCATCCCCACTGTCAAACATGGTGGTGGCAGTTCACTTTGGAGAGACCCAAGAGGGAAAATGCAGTTAGGGAGTTTGTTGATTGAGTATGTTTGGCGCCCTAGGCCCGGGAGAGATGCTGATGAGTGCGGCGCTTGCTCGCGCGCATATTTATTATATTTTGATAATATGAAGGTATGTTTATAAATGACTTGTTTCACATTAGTTGGATTGGATAGTCTTTTCTGATTAGAATTAGTTCAGTTACTGTGGACTGAACCAAAACAGGACCAAATAGAAAGATTTTCTACTTTTGTGGGATCATCAAGACTATTGGTCCTCCTAACTGTCAATCATTCTGGTGATACGTGCTCGTCAAATAAGACTAAAGAGTTTTGTTCAAAAAGTGGAGAGGGTGGTTTTTTCCTAAGAAAATTGGGAAATCCTGCTTCATATCTTTAAGAAGAAATGTAATTGGAGACTAGTAAAAAACATAACGTAACAATACTAACTTCTAAAAACATGTTGGCTTAACGTTTCTTATGGAATCAAATTTCATGGTTGCCTTCTTGAGAAAATTAGAAGTGGATGACATGCCCTTGTCGCCTAATACCATCAATGCTTCTATTTAATGTAATAATTTAAAATCATCTCAGGGGCCACTGGAAATGGTCTCACGGGCCGTATCTGGCCCCCGGGCCTTGACTTTGAGACCTATGCTCTAAAGGGTGAGAGGCCCCCGTGGGTTAGAGATTGTGAAAGAAAAAGAACCTACACAAACAGTTCATTCTCAGGTTCAAGGCCTGTATTTATTCACTCTTTTTGATGCTCTTGGTTTATCTATGACTTTAATATCTCCTTTCTAGTTTTGTTAAGCACTTTGCCTTGGGTATGAGATGTGCTATACTAATAAACTTGTCTAGCCATGTCTTCTCATAAGTCCCAAGTAATCAAAACCCTCTGTATCTGTGTAAAAGTGAAGAAAACAAAACATGACGTGGACTATGAGTTATTTCTGCGTAACTTTGTCATGACAATCTCAGTTTTTACACAATTGTACAAACGTCTCCTAAAAGATTCATAAAGAGCGTGTGAGTGAGTTGTTGCAGCCCCAGACCTGATGTTGTGAACAGCTGCTGTTGGTTTGAACAGGAGGAAATAATCTAGTATTACAGCCTCAGGCAAACAATCATGAGTATTTGCTCTTTTCCGAACGTCACACTGATTCACACCGATCTCTCGTTTACAACCACGATTTCTGTCACTTCAGTTCAATATCCGTGTGAATTATTAGAAGCACTGAACTGAAAATAGACTGTATACACATGGACAATGCTAACCCGCTCGCTCAACCAAGCCCAAGCCCAATAGGGAAGTGCTCATGATGAAGTTTTGCTCCAACTCGCTCCGCCTCCAACTGACTTCCTTGTAAAAGTAAACTCCTCTTTCTCATTACCCGAGGTCAAGCTGTTTTTGTTTACATTGAGTTCTATGAGGAAAAATTCTGGGTAGCCCTTGTGAATGTAGTCTTGTTTAGTCTGCAGTACCACGGGAAGCCCCCGAGCACATGGGTCCTTCAGCTCCAGTATAAGTTAGTACTACCCTAACCAGTTATTACACTGGGTAACAAAAAAATATGTTTTGAAAATAGTCCAGGATTTTCCAGCTGAATTAGACTAATTTTGATGCTCTGAGTCCGAAAATGACCTTGGTTTTGCTCAATCAGGTCAGGATTTTTTGCTACAGAAATATTTTTTAAAATCGATTTTGCGTAAAAAACTCATTTCGGCGGATCATCAGCTGAGAAACCCTTGACGTTTTTTCCGTTTTCCTCAAGAAATAAAAGTCAACCTATTCAAAGTCATTCAGTTTTTATTTACTCCATCAAATTTGATAAGCAGAATTCATAATAACGTAGACGTACGTAATCCGTAACACTATGGCTATATCTGATTTTCGGATTCAGAACACCAAAATTAGTCTAAATCAGTTGAGAAACCCCTGACCATTTTTTGGCTGTCAACTTGTGTTATTATAGATTTATGCGCCGGGGGTATAACCACTTCCTCAACAACATCCTCCTCAGACAAGCAGACCTGCTCAAAGCACACCTAGCACTATTTGATCCACCACCATTGTTGTTTACGTTTGTTCTCGGCTACTGCACAGGTCCACATATATAGGGAGGAAGTGGTGAGGTCATCGCAGCCAGAGAGTTCACAGATTTGTCTTTACACGGCCGTGAAACGATCCCCCCGCTGCACTGCCTATCTGTTTTGTTCTACTTTGCAGACCGTCCAGTCCAGAGGTTGAACACTCTCTGCTGGTGCTACATTAGTCAGCTGGTACATAAACACAAAAACAGTCTCATACAAAGAGAAGAAAGCGCACGGAGCATAGGGTCAATGTTTATTTACTCTGACAAAGACGCAGCAGAAAGAGAACATTCCTCTAATGGACGAGGCCACAAGTATAACAGCCAATTAAAGAGACGTCTCTGGTTTTAAAAGGACTGAGCTGACCCAGGCATTCTGCATTTACATTCCACTCTAACTATTTTATGTTTTATTCAAAGCAGCGACAGAAACTGAATACAGCCAAAGAACAGTGTAACCAGCAAATATGATGCAGTATAAAACAAGCACTTGGGTCTACAGCCTCAGTCCTGGGTCTACAGCCTGAGTCCTGGATCTACAGCCTCAATCCTGGATCTACAGCCTGAGTCCTGGATCTACAGTGGCAGTAGTTACTCACTGAGCTCTGATGCGATCACAGAGATGTTATGCCAGGCCCGGTCCTCTCGGTCGATGGGGCGCAGGAGGAAGATGGAGCCGTTCCCTGGGTGCACGTTGAAGATCCGGTCCAGGTCTGTGCGGCGGTCAATGGCATACCTGCAGACAACAACCACAGAGTAGGATATGTTTAATATGTTACGTAGATACTGTATGTGCAGTGGTCCCTGGTTTATCTCGGGGGTGACTGGGGTTTCTTGTGGATCAGAGAGACCAAAGAGAGAGACCAGAGTGAGAGAGAGAAACTAGCGAGAGAGACCACAGAGAGGCCAGACAGAGGCCAGAGAGGGATCAGAGACCAGAGTGAGAGACTGGTGACAGACCAGAGAGAGGCCAGCATGAGAGGCCAGAGAAAAATAGAGAGAGGGAGACCAGGCAGAGAGAGACCAATAAGTATTGCCTATAAGTTCATTTTTGTATTTCCTCAGGTGAAATAACGTTCTTTACAATCACAAATCTGTGTTTGCAGTTCCCTCTGGTGGCCACACAGGGAGTTACAAGAGGAGTTACATGGTAGCTTCACCATACTCAAGACATGGGACAAAGTAAATAGTCCCATTTAAATAACTAATTCATAATTTATACATTTTAATAGCCTAAAATCAAGCATACCAGTTACTTTTGAAAGAAAGTAACAAGGTTATCTTTATTCATTTGAGGCATTTCACAGACCAATGTCACGCAACTCTTATTCTATAGGTCTCACATCCAGGCCATGAGATTGAATACTGTATATGAAAACAAATGAGTGGCATTTCTATCTTAATTAAAGCCTGCCTCAGTCGCTCTGGTTTAATTAAAAACCACTGGGAGGGAGAATATGTACTGCATATTTACTGCCTTTACATCTCACTGCACTGAACGGCCACGACTTAAGGAAAACAGAAAAAAGGACTTATCCAGAATTAGGGGTTAATGGAAACCACCGCTGCGGTTCTAGTCCTGGATCTACAGCCTGAGTCCTGGATTTACAGCCTGAGTCCTGGATCTACAGCCTCAGTCCTGGGCCTAAAGCCTCAGTTTTGGATCGGCAGCCTCAGTCCTGGGTCTCCATTAAATTGAATCTTACTTGACCGGGCTGCGAGCTCCATCCGGGTCCACCGCGCTCACGGCCCCCACCGCGGCCCCCACCCCCGCGTCCTCCTTGACCTCCAGCTGGTACCAGGTCTTATCGAAGTGAGGGGGCTCGTCTACATCCTCCACGCTGATGCGCACCGTGGCCACGTCGCGGGAGCCGGCGGACGTGAAGCGCGGGTCCACCTGCGTGTTCTGCACCTGAACCTCCACCGTGTAGGACTGCTTACGCTCAAAGTCCAGAGGCTGCGGACAAGACGGGTCAGAGGTTATTGGGGTAAACAAAGGATGCAATGTCATGACTATTGAACAAGACTGGTCTGCCTCGTGACTTCAGCATATGACTAAGTAAAAAAAACACAAATAGTCAGTGACAGCACTGTGCTATCCTCTTCCTACGTAATCTGTCATCATTAGGACTTCAGCGGCAGTCTGTCCATTGATATTCACCCGCTGTCCCATTATCTGTTTAATGGCGAGATGTTGGTACCCCTGAATCTGCACTTGTGATCTCTGTCCCCGACCCGTGAGCTGGGAGTCCTGCACCGCACAAACTCACTCCTGAATCTACAGCTTCAGTCCTGGATCTACAGCTTCAGTCCTGGAACTTCTCGGTGGGAAAAGATCCCTCTTTCTGGGTCTCCCCGAGATTTCTCACTTTTTTTCTCACTGGACTTTTGAGTGGTTTGTTTGCAGAGTAGCTCAGTTGGTAGAGCATTGGCCTTAAGGCCAGAAGGTCGTGGGTTCAATTCCCACCTCTGCACCTTCTCCACCGACTCCCACTGATGACTGCTGTCGTTGTGTCCTTGGGCAAGACACTTAACCCCACTTTGCCTGAAGCCCCCGCTGAGAGATCAAGGCTATGCTCACACTCAGAGCAGCCATCCTCCTGTGGACTCACCACCTGCAGAGGGTCAGTGAGGGGCTGGTGCTATGAGACTTGGGTGGCATCTCTGACTGCCACCCCCCTGACCCAGAAATGGATTAAAGGGTAGAAAATGGATGGATGGATGGATGTTTGCCGATGCAGGAGGGTCTAAGGACTGTGATGATCCAGGACATTTATTCACATCTCCGGACAGTCATCCGGCTCCTTATGGACCAATGGCTCCTATGTGTTTGTTATTATTGCATTTAATCCTAATCCTAATCCACAACTATAAAGTCCTCCGAGAGATGACCACTCTTGTGATGTAGGGCAGTAGAAATATAGCAGCGTATGAAGGTGGAGGCGGACCTTGTTGACGGTGACCACGCCCTCTTGGCTCAGTTTGTCGGTGGAGATCTGGAACACGTCCATCCCATCTCCGCTGACGATAGTGAAGAACATCTCAGCATTCGGCCCAATGTCGCGGTCTGTGGCGCGGACCCGTCCCACCGCCGCACCGTGTTTGAAGGACTCTGGAACTCGGAACTGGTAGATACCTGCACACACACACACACACACATCAGAATGTCAGGGATTTGGATTTGAGACAAGGACCCAATCATTTGCTTCTCTGACCTCCATCATCACACCATGTTGAAGAGCTTTCTGACCAGCAATAAGAAACTGGCTCCAGCTAGCTTAAATTCAAATTGGCTAACACTATCGTGTTGTCACACTGTCAGTCTGCTACTAAGGAAGGGTGTATGTTTGAAGCGGTCTAGAGTAAGTTGGAGTTACATGTAGCTTGTCTAAACTTTTACATTTGGCCACAAAACTTAAAAGTACTTAATGAAAGTTCTTTAAAATCCCTCTAGCCCCAGTGGAGGGGTGTTTACCGCAGATTTACATTTCATTAGCTTTAATTCATTAAGACGGCTTCAGGAGAGAATTATGGATGCTCCGCGCTCCGCTCCACACGGAGTGAACCTCGCAAAGTGCAAGATTTGACAGAACGTTGCAGATGGGTTGGTGAATACAATAAAAAGGGTGTTTTTAAAAAGTAAATTTTCCCAGTTTTGATGGGTGTAGTAGCTCCCGCTGAATGATAACTAGCTACTACAGGCAAAATTTGGGAAAAATATTGTTTTCCCCTTCACAGTAATGAAAATGAAATTATAAAAATTCACTAAAAATCAACAAAGACAGTTTTCCCAGTTTTGATGGGTGTAGTAGCTCCCAATAAGTGATAGCTAGCTACTACAGGCAAGAATTTGGGAAGAAAATGTTTTCCCCTTTACAGTAGGAATAATGAAATTGGAAAAAATCACTAAAAATCAACAAAGATAATTTACCCAGTTTTGATGGGTGTAGTAGCTCCATTTGAACAATAGCTAGCTACTACAGGCAAGAATTTGGGAAAAATATTGTTTTCCCCTTCACAGTAAGGCATAATCACGCAAACCACACATGAACCAATTTCACTCCCGAGCATTCCCAGGTCAGATGGGAAATCTTGCAAAATCTCTTGAGATCAAGCGTGATTTCAGAGTAAACAATCATGGCGGACGGAGAGGATGCAGTTGCAATAGTTTGCAGTTTGTTTTTAACAGAGAAAAGAGAAAATGCTACATCATCTCTGACGTCCACCGGACTTTCTGGTGCACCATGCCGCTGACTGTTTTTTTTGGTGTTTCCTCGCCACCATGTTAGCTAGTCTTCTGATTGGCCACGCGCTGCAGTCCACAGGCAACGGGATCGTCTGTCCCCGGGGGACACCACACACAAACAAAGAGAAATCAGGCCAAAAAAAATCCAACATGTTGGATATCCCCAATTTGAGATCGGAGCAGTCCTGAGTCTTAACCAACCACACATGGCAGAAAAATCCATCAGATTTTATTACGTAAATTGTTTTTAAGATGTCGTCAGAGGTGAATCAGGTCTTGAATCTGGTCTTGAATCTGCCAAATTTACAGCCGTATGAACAAGGTTTAAAGCTGTGTGGTTTTGTTTTGTTTTCATTCCGTTGTGATTTGCACAGATTTATTCCATAATAATTAAAGGCACTTTATTACATTTAAATGTATTTGTGTTTCATGTGTGAAATTGTCATTTTTTGATTAAACTATGACACGAACATGAACTATGACTATGCCAAATAAGGACTTTTAAAAATACTGAAATATGCAAAAAAAAAAAATTAGTATGCATTAGCGCTCCATCTCAGACATATTTCTTATGGTACCGCACTGTTGTCTACTTGTCTTATTGTATTTCAATCTGGAGAGACGAGGAGACAAAATGCATTTGAAGTTTTTTATTGAGAGGTAGTTTGGCGTAGGGCTGGGCGATAAAACGATAACGATATATATCGCGATAGACATGTGTTCGATATCAATAGAGAATTTTATTTATTTATTTATTTATTGATTTATTTGATAGGGACAAGTGAACACAATCAACATGTGAAACACTACAACATTTATAGCCAAGGCTAGTTTGCAATGTCCGTCCCTAGGAGGGCTTTTAACACAATTAAAACACATTATACATTATAAAATTCACATTATACAAAAGCAGATGTTTTCCAACTCATTGATGCTCACACACCTGGTTTGTTTTAAGAAATCGCTTTAGTTCATGTTTAAAACCAGCCCAGTCAGAGTTCAGTTTTAGCTGAGGGCTTAAAGAGTTCCAGAGCTTTGCCCCCTGGACCGAGAAGACCGACTGTCCGAATGTGGTTCTCCTGAGGGGCACTTTCACATTCCCGTTAGAGGAGCCCCGTGTGACGGATCTCAGAGGAACTAAGAGAGCACTCAGGACAGCAGGGGCTCGACTGTGCAAACATTTGTACAATAATTTACAATTACAAAATTTAATAAAATTATCAAAACTAAGAAAATGTAGTCTCTGCAACACCTGGCAATGGTGTGTTCTTATTGGCTTTTTGTCCAGTATTTTTATGGCTCTGTTGTAGAGCATTCTTACTGGTTTGATGGAAGAGGCTGTGGCCTGGGACCAGCAGATGATACAGTAACTTATCTGAGAAAAAATCATGGCGTGTAGAAAGATATTGGCTGCGTTGAAAGGTAAACAATCTCTGATTAATCTGAAACTATACAAACTTGATTTAGTCCTTTTTACAATCTTGTTAATGTGACTGTCAAATTGCAAGTGAGAGTCCAGAATTAGGCCTAAATATTTGAATTTTCTCACTTGCTCAATGTGTTGCCTGTCAATTGTTAGGGGTAGGTTCTCAGTGGGACGTGTTCTAGATGAAAAACAGACAGATTTTGTTTTACTGACACTATCTAATGGGGTCGATAGAATGTTTGATAGTTTAACTTAACTCCGTCAGGAAAAACAGGAAGAAAACACCGGAAGTAAAGCCGACTGATAAGCGCATGGCATTGTGGGGGATGTAGGCAGAGGCTTCTCGACCAATAACAGCCGAGCAGGAACCGCAAAACTTTGTGGGAAATGCAAAAACAACAACAACCGCAGCATGCGTGGCGTCCATGGATCTATAGCTCGTGTTTCAATGCCGTGTCAATGGCTATGCACGTACGTGCGCGGAATAACATGTGCGGCGGCAGAGGCAGTGGACAGACACGATGTATTCGGCGAAAGCAAGAGATTAACTTTTTCCTCGGGAAGCATGTGCGGCACAGAGCCGCACGGAGCGGCCACGGGGACACAAGACCCTCAAACAGCTAAACCAGGAGCTAAACCAGGAATAAAAAACCAGGATTAAACCAGGACTAACAACGAGGGACACAGTCTGCTAAGGTTGGTTAGCCCACACGACAAATATATTTATTTAGGTTAAAAAAAAAAACTCAATATATATCGTTATCGACCGATATGAATGACCAATATCGTGATATGGTTTTCAGCCATATCGCCCAGCCCTAGTTTGGTGCCCTAGGCCCCGGTGCGGCGTTCAGTCAGCAAGGCTCCTGCGAGAGTGCGCGCACAATCCCCCGGGACCTAGGCACTGGTGGCGGCATTTGGCAGCAGGAAGGGCATGATTGAGGCAGGGTGAGAAAAAGGAGGAGGAGGGGAGGCGGTGGTTTGCAAGGCTTTGAGAAGGCCGTAAAGTGGGAGTTTCTCCGCTTTTAAGCGGCTGGCCTGGTCGGCATAGATTGGTTGGAAATGGGCGTTTGCTGTGCGATAGGCTGGGGATGCGAGGCCGGCCTGGAAGGGGTGGCTTTGGCTGACGTCTTCCAAATTAAATTTCCGCGAGGCTGCATTTGTGTGTACATCTGCCTGTACATATTGTGCCTTTGAGCCAGAAGGTCGTGGGTTCGAGCCTGACCTTCACCATCAACTCCCACTGATGTCTTCTGTCGTTGTGTCCTTGGCAAGACACTTAACCTCTGGGAACACCAGCCACAGTGGGGCGGCTGCGACAGTAAAGTACCAAACTGCCGTTGTGTCCTAAATGTAAAGTGTCTTTGAGTGTCCAAAAAAGCGCCATATAAAACTGATGCATTATTATTATATTATTATTATTGTATGTCTATATTTTCACATTAAATACATGAATTCAAATGAATAAAATTACACAGGATTTTGAGTAGTGCACATTTTGAGTCCTTCTGACAGTAATATTTTTAATGAAGACCATAAAACCCCACTATGTCCACTCCACTTTCGGCATGACTCATGCTGTTCTCACAACAATAACTGTTGTTTCGATTGTTCCCTCTCTCTCTCCCTCTCGCTCTTGTCTGGTGGAGGCTGACGTTCAGGCTCCAGTTCTAGTGGTGTTTTCACAATGTTCACAAGTGTTGGAGCATATGCCCAACGCTGAAGGCTGAGAGTCTTGGAACGGTGCCCGCTCTAAACGTTCGCCGCAGTTTAAATTGAACTTGTATTTCTTCTGCCAGATTCACTCTCTTATCAAGTACCAGATTGCTGCCGGAATCGACAAACGTTCTGTGGCGTTCGGCTGATCACAAAAAATCATTGATTTGAACATGGCTTTTCCGGGGTGGCTAGAAGGGTCAGAATAATGAATTACTCTTCTGGCCCCCCTGGAAAAGTCATGTTCCAGCTTCTTCCCTATGGCAGAAGATATCGTTCGCTGGGATCCAGGACATCTCGTTTTGCTAACCGTTTCTATCCACAAGCTGATATCAGTTTAAACAGAGCACTTTAATGATCCTGCACCTGTATTAAAACTGTTTCAGTTTGATCAATTTCACAGTGTCATTTTTTTCCCTCTTTCCCGTATGTTTTATTTGTTTTTTTTTCTTCATGAACTTGTCTTGTGCACACTGGGGACTTTTGCAAATGTTGTTTTACTGCAAATGGCAAATAAATAAATCTGTATCTCTGTTTTGATTAAATTTGATGAAACATTTTTGACAGAACAACAACTTCAACATTACAGATTAGAGTGGAGCTTAGGCAGAGGTCAAGACTGGTGCATGTGCAAAGGTCAGACTAGTGCATGTGCAGAGGTCAGACTGGTGCATGTGCAAGGGTCAGACTGGTGCATGTGCAAGGGTCAGACTGGTGCATGTGCAAGGGTCAGACTGGTGCATGTGAAGAGGTCAGACTGATACATGTGCAGAGGTCAGACTGATACATGTGCAGAGGTCAGACTGGTGCATGTGCAAAGGTCAGACTAGTGCATGGTGCATGTGCAGAGGTCAGAC